TTTTTTTTTTTTTTTTTTTTTTTGGAGAAAGGGTCTCCCTGAGTATATCAGGCTAGCCTTTAACTCAGATTGGCCTTGAACTTGGGGAGATCCTCATGCCTCGGCCTCCTGAGTGCTGGGTTTACAGTCATGCACCACCACATCCAGCTAAATTTTTTCTAATTTTGTAGTTAGTGAATTAATATAAAGAGCCTGAGTCTCTCAGAAGGATCAAAGGCCCCTCTGGGCCTCAGCATTTTGGTTACACCTCCTTTACTTTCCCAAACCTTCTTTGCTATATCTTTTAAAGCTCTGATTTGTGACTCTTTTGGTCCTTGAAGAGGAAGTCCACTGGAGGCCTCCTTTCTCTCCCTGCCTGGCGTTTTGTTGGTATTTTAGAAACAAAAGGCCCTGAGAGTGTTTGATAGAAGCTTGGGTCAAGAAATCTAAATTCAAATTCTGCCTCCCCATTTTAATTCATTTATTACTGTGGACAGGTTTTGCTTTGAGAATAGTCTTAGGATAATGCTTGAAAGAAATAATGTTAATAAGAAATAAGTTTTGGTGATAGTGGAGCACTTGAACCCAGAGCCTTCACACTGAGCTATTATTATTATTTTACATTTTATTTTATTTTTGGTACTCAGGACTTTGTGCTTGTGAGGCAGTTGGGGAAACCACTGAGCTAAATCCCTGGCTAGACATTTTTTTAAGAGAGGATCTCAATAAGTTGAGCTGCCTGGACTGGGCTCAGATGTCACCCTTCTGCGTCAGCCTCCTGGAGTGCTGGGATGTCACCCCGACTGCTTGGTAGTCTTGCTGATCCAAGGAGAAAGTTATGGTACTTCCAGTATTCCAGTTATTAGTTTCTCCTTATTTGTGGGAGAAGTAAAGTTGTTAGAAACACTAAATCATGTAGCTCTATCTCATTGGTCTGATCTTCTGGCCTTGATGGCAAGTATATTGTCTGTGCTTAACATTGATGAGATATGTTTATAATTTGAGCAGAGCTGCCTGTCTGTAAGTGTGCTGCTAAGTTTGTTAGAATTAAATGGTAGCATTTTATTGATTTATTTTTTAATTTTTTTTGGTACTGGGAATCAAACCTGGGTCCTTGCACTTGCGAAGCAGGCACTAGAACCACTGAGCTAAATCCCTGGCCCTGTTAGAATTAAATGAAAGCATGCATGAAGAATCTAGCTGTGCCTTCATGGTATTGAGGTAGAAATAGAGATAATATTTACCCTAGAGTTCTCTTAGCAGGCAGTAGAGATGTGTATACTGTAGCAGTGTAAAATAGTTCTTATGCTATGAGCTGTACAAAAATTTACAATGTGTGCACTTAGACATTCACACCATTCTAAGATAGCTAATCAGTGACTGCAAGTGAAGGTTGGGATGGCTAGAGAGTTCTCTAGTGTTCTTAGACTATTCTGTTCTGTTTAAATGTTAGCATAAATTTTTTTTGTTTTGTTTTGTTTTGTTTTGTTTTTTTGAGACAGGGTTTCACTATGTAGTTTAGACTGCCCTGGAATTCACTGTGTAGCCCAGGCTGGTCTCAAACTCACAGTGATCCTCCTGCCTCAGCCTCCCGAGTGCTGGGATTATAGGTGTGCGCCACCACGCCCAGCTAGTAGTTTTGTTATTTGAGGGAAACATTAAGTGAATTTAGGTATTACTTGGGGTCCACTCTTTACTATAATCCCTTTCCACCATATAGAATGCCTAACACAGAACTTGCAGTGATGTCAATGACAGGGTCAAGAAAAAAGTTGATCCAGTAGCCAGACCAGGCATGTTCAGCTCAATCTGCCCAGGACTTTGCTGCACACAGCAAACAAATGCTCATTAGAACCTGTGTGTCTGCTTGCCAGTGTGACCAGGAGCTGCTGCCCTTCCAGTTGTTAGGAGCGTCCTTCCTCCTGGTAGGACCCAGCCCTCTGGAAGGAGAAGCAACAAACTCAGGGCCAGCTTGGATCACATGACACAGACGGCCAAGGAGAAATCTATGACAGAAAAGGGAAATCTGTCATCCAGGTTGAGTGAGCTTCTGTAACCCATGTTGGCAAGTGTGTAATTTGCCTAAGCTGGACAATTTAGCTTGAGTTACAATTCTGTTGAAATGAGCTCATTTCTATGTTCATTCATAATTCTGCCTCCTTTGTTCATCTTAAATAGTCCCGGGTTTTTTTCCATGTGACTTAGTTTAGTTTTTCTGTGTGTACCTATTTATTTGCACTTTAACTGTGACTGATTTCAGTATCGTGAAGTTAACATAGGGCAGGTATCTAACGAAAGATTGAGTCTAAACTTTTGTTCCCAAGTGTCAAGCCTGGTGAAACGGAAGACAACACTTTTTGTCAACAAAAGATGACAAAACTCCATCCTTGCCCCCATCCTGGTTGCATCCCAGTTGCTGTTTTGAGCCTTTACGGCGCCTGAAACTCCCAGGTGGCTTGATGTATGTATTTATTTGTTATGTTATTTGCTTCGGTTTCCCAATTTGAACATCTCTTCTTCCCCTCACCCCTTCCAGATGCCCCCTAGCTGTGCTGGCCTCTGCACTGGGTAGCGTTGCCATGTGGTGGATTGTGTGTGACTACATCCTCCCCATCCTGCTCTTCTGTCTCGATGGTTTCAGAGCACGGTAGCCATCAGGACCCTTGGGCAGATAGCTGCTGTGTAAGTGTCCCATTCCGTTTCTCTCCTGTCCCTCACTCTGGTGTCCTCTCTGGTCCTTGTGCATGTTCTCTCCTTGTCAGCTCTCCTGGCTTTGTTGGTTCACCTGTTTTCTGAGGTCCTTTTTCTGAATACTTTTAACATATTTTGAAATAGCCATTTATAAATAAAGACATTAAAATAGTTTCTTTTTCCTATCAAAAATACTTAATTTGTTTGGGATATTTGGGAGGGTTTCCTTTTAGGCAGTTGGCTCTTTATATAGCCTCCATCTAGTCTTCTGTGTCTTGAATGTGTTCTCTCCAATCTAACCAAAAGAGAATTTTTTCCCATGGACCTACTTTTGGCAAAAGTTTGGCTTTGTAACTTTGAAGTCTAGTGAAAACTGTATCCTGGTTTCTGCCATCACAATAGCTGTCTCCTGAGTCTTCCTGTTCAGTGTGCAGAACCATCTCCTGGTTCCACTTCTCCCAGGCAGCAGCCTCCATATCTTGGTGTTAAGTGAGAACAGGAGGCCCAGAGCCTGGCCTGCTTGCTCCTATTACTGAGTTTCTCCTTGATATCTCTGGGCTCCACTTTTTTCCTTTCCCACAAATATCCAAAACATCTTTATTTGGCTAATGTAGACAAGTTCGTATTCTCTTCCATCACTCATCCTTGAAATGGAGGCCTTAAGCGCAAAGACATGTTCCTGCAGGAGAATGTGGTGAGCAGCTTCTGTATGGAGCACCAGAGCTAAAAGCCACAGAGGGAGGTGTCCCCCAGACCCTGCCCTTTCCTACCACCCACTTAGGTCTGGGCTGCATTCTTTATTTTCTGAAACTTTCTTGACTGATCTTTCAAAAATGTCTTTTCTTGCCCAAGCTTGGACTTGGAAATTATAAAAGAATGCAGAAGTTCCTTCTAGGATCTCTTCCAAAGTAAAATTCCATTGCAGCTAACTCTGGTACTTTGTGGTTTCAGTGAGTGTTTTCATATGTCTAACAAAGGTTTAGGAAACAGTTTCTATTCTTCAAAAGTAAACAAAACCATTTAACACATTTTTATTTGTAATATTTTGTTGAATATTTTTAAAACAAATTTATGTACTTACATAAGCATATTTTGATATAATCTCAGGGCTTTTTGCCTTTATTTTCTTAGTAAGCTTCAGGTACTACTTATTTTGAGTGAAGAACATCATTCAAAGATTTATTGTTGTTTCCATTTTAGTCCAAGGGGCAAAGATATTCTGAATGGGTGGAGTCATTGCTAATAATACTTATTACTGTTTGCTGTTACATTTCAAGACTTAAAATATTGCTTGACTGCTTTTTTTATTTTTTATTTTTTTAGTACTGGGGATTGAATCCAGGGAACATCCCCCGCCCTTTTATTTTCTGTTTTGAGACAAGATCTCACTAACTTTCCCAGGCAGGACTTGAACTTTGCATTCTGCTTTAGCCTCCCAGCATGCTGGGGTTACAGGCCCGTACTGCCATACCTGGGTCAGCATGCCTTTGGCTTTGGGCTTCTAGCAGTTACAGTGCTGCTGACCAGGGTAATCTTTGTAGTCTCCACCTCTCCAGATAAGGTGGAGTGCTCATGTTCCCTGGTTGTCATTGATCTCGAGGACCAGGGGAGGGACCTTGTTGGGTGGTGCTATTGATTACTCCCGCTCTTTGCTCAGCCTCTGGAAAGTTGCCTCTGGAAGCTGCAGGGCCTCAGGCTATGCAACCAAAGGCTCTGTGATGGTGGTACCCACATTGCTAGTATATAGTTATTCTGAGGGACTCTTTTGGAACTGCACATTCAAGAATTTTGTACCTTGCTAGGTGAGACTCCTGGCTTTTTGGTTTTCACTTTGCCATGTGCCCTACTTTGCAGATGTCACTGTATCCAAACAGAGCACTGCAGCTCCCTGGGGGTGTGGTTGGGACTAAAGAGAGGAGGAAAACATGTGTCCTGAACATTTTCTGGGAGGAAGCACTGGGAGGTTTGTACACAGATCCTCTTGGGGACAGGGGGACCTGCTGTGCTTGGCTGGCAAACTCAGCCTTGTCTGTAGCCACTTGCGGATTGTTATTGGTTAATATGTTAGTGTAGTTGCTGGGGGTCTCCCCGCTGTGGTCATTAATGGATAACAGATGTGGTACCTGCTCTGTTATCGTTATAAATACAGTACTTGAGTCTTCCCAGGTACAGCTAATACAGCCTAAATTTCTGTCATTCCTTTAGTTTCAAAGTTCCACAGAAATTACTAGCTACTATTACCAAATTATTTCATCTGTTTATGTTTTTTTGTTTTGTTTTTTGGTACTGGGGCTCGAACTTGGGACCTTGCACTTACGAGGCAGGCAGCGGCACCACTAAGCTAAATTCCCAGCTCAGTTTATGCTTATTTTAAGTGAAGTAAAAAATGGAGTGGTGATTTCTTGTTCTGAATAGTATGTAAACTTTTCAGTAATTTAAGAAATTAGTACTCAGATATTTTTAAACAAGCAGTGTATAGGTTTTGTTTTATAGTATGGATACTATTTATGCTTTTGGCCATCAGTGACCCCCCAATTATTTGAAAAGTAAGTGTAGTTTTTCAAAACGCCAGAGAAGTCTTATCTTCTCTGTTTGTAAGGAGTATCTAAGGCAGTGCTGGGCTTTGGAAGGCACTGGGGAAGCATCAAGTTTTTTGTTATCTTTCTTTATGCAAAATTCTAGATTCATTTCCTTAATAGACACAAAAAGATATTTCCTCCTCACTTTATATAATCAGAATTTTTAGCAGTTGAACAGGAGGAACAACTTCTGATGCTCTTTAGCCTAATGTAGTGTAACTGTGGTTGACAATTGCATATTTCAGATTAGCTAGGACAGGATGTTGAATGTTCCCAGTGCAAAAAAAAAAAAAGGGTAAATATGCTCTTACCCTAATCTGATTGTTACCCACTGTGTGCATTTATGGAAATGTCTCCCTGTACCCCATAAATCTGTGTAATTATGTGTCTGTTAACTTTTTAAGTCATTTTTTAAAAAGAGCTTTTTAGTAATGAATCCTTGTTCTAAGAAGCAGAATTCATAAGCCAGAGCATTGGTCCCTGGAACCCTATAACTATGTCCACATCGCCTGTTTCTGGTTAGGGTTTCAGCAAACAGACTGTGAGAAACACCAGTTCAGGCACTGGCTAATTGATCCAGGATTAGATTGTCTCCAAGAGGTCCAGGGCTGGTTTCCCAAGCCTTCAAAATCCTGCAGGAGCTGATGTGTACCCCTTGTCCCCAAACAATCCCCAAACAGTCTGAAGCCACTGAGTGATGTGCTTTGGTTTGAGCAATGCCATGATGGCAGGACTTCAGGAACCTTTCCCACATTGAAAGATCTGGCGTTTGTCCTGAACCACTCTGCTGGTGACAGTCTTGTGACTCATGATCCATGGCCACTTTCTATTTTATTCTTAACCAGCCAGGATCTTGCAGGTTGTTAATGGGCATCTCGTCCTTAGGTTGGAATACAAAAGCAGAAAGTATTTCTTAGTATTTTCTCTTCGAGATAGGTAAAATGTTGATACAAATAAATGAGTGTATATGCAGCTCAACTTTTCAATTAAATCTTTTGATGTGTTCTGCTGTTCTTCTATGACAATTTAATGAAGCAAAAGCAAACACCCTCCACTTAAGAACAGGGCACTCTCTATGGCCTGCCTGATTCGTATATTGGCCTTCTGGGCAATCTGCTGTCACAGGAGGATTTTTAGAGTTTAAGGCAAATTTCACAACATTTAAGTGATCTCACTTCTATTTTAATGATACTTAAGCATTTAGTAAATAGTCACAATCCAGGACAAACATGATTTTGCTTCACCATGTTTTAAAAACTTGAAATAATGTATAAAGTTTTAATTTATATAATATTTATCATATAGATGTTCAGCTCTGACCAGTGAATGTTGTGTAGCTAGTTCCTAAGTTTGTATTCATGTCCTCTGGACTATTTGGCTTCCGACTTGTTTGTATGACTAGAAATCAGAATCTCCTTTTTCAGATTTGTTTGACTGATGGATTTCTTTGGCATTTGAAGTGCTTATAATGGCAAGTTACTTCATTTCCAAATGTAAAGCACCCTGGTTATCTTTGTGTAACCTTCAAGGAGAAACGAGATGCTTCATTTCAAATATTCTTGGCCTAAAACAATGTGTTTGATTTTTTTTTACCCCCCGGCAAATATGTTTATGGAAAATCCTGTCAATTCACAGTAAAACAATTTGCACTAAAGGGCAAAAATCCCTTCCTCTGTCAAGTATTTGAAAGTTATTTCAGTGCATATAATCTTATTTTTTTCCAACTATTTTCAGAGTAATTCTTCAGTCCAGTGTTCAGAGCTGTAAAACATCTGAACCTAACCTTTCTGGCAGTGCAGGCATTACTAAAAGAACCACCAGATCTGCTTCGAAGAAAAGCAGTTTTAAAAGGTGAGAAAAGAATCCTGTTCTGAAAAATTCCAAGCATTGGTTTCTAACTTAACCTTTTAGAGACTCAAAAGAAGATAGGAGAAAGGATCATCCCTGCAATGGGAAATAATCAGATGTGTTTTATATGATGTGTTTGTCATCTATGAAAATCTGGACCACTTGAACGTAGGCTTTTTTTTTTTTTTTTTTTCATTCACAGGAAATTCATAACACTGTAGTCTCTGGGTCATGATATGGAAAAGCTGAGGATGTTGTTTTTGTAACTTTACATTAAGAATTTCCAGGCTGGGGATTTAGCTCAGTGGCACCACGCCTGCCTCAAAAGCGCAAGGTTCTGTGTTTGATCCCTGGTACCAAAAAAAAAAGAATTTCCAAAGCTTTCTATCAGGGCTTGGAGGAACACTTCTGTCTGTGTACAGGATACAGTGTCATTGTGCAATTAGCTACACATTAAGTGTGATCTTGAAACACACTTTCTGAGGTCCTTTTTGGGTTCCCTCTTGACTTTGTGGCTCTTTGTCATCTTGGCTACAGCACTCACCAAAGGTCTCTTTCACTTTTGTCCCAGTGTGTCTCACATCCTTTGCTAAGTACAGGCTCTGATAAGAAGTGGGCCCATCCTGAGACCAGGCCAGTGGCTTGATGTTGTCTCTGGGCATTTGTCATGACACTTAATCTTTTTTTGGCACCGGGGATCGAACTTTGACCCTTGTGCTTGCAAGGCAGGCGGTGGCACCACTGAGCTAAATCCCCAGCCAACACTTAATTTTTAAAATATTCCCCAAACAGGTCCCTTGTTAGGCAAGTAGGTCATGCACTTTCTTGGTGTCCCAGGTATGGAGGATGCACGTCATTTAGTGTAGTGGTGATTTTGTGCTTGTGGCAAGAAGAGCTCTTATAATAGTATATGCAGCCTGCAGGTAATCAGAACCAGACTTTCCAGTGTCCTCAACTGTCCTCCTAGCTTCTTTTCTACTTTCCAGCTCCTGCATGCTGGAGGCTTTAGGCCCAAGTGCTTTATCCCAGTGCTGAGTTAGTCCCCATGATGTCCTATAGCAGCTGCTGCTTGGCATTCTGGGGATTCACTGCTCTCCTTCTTCTCTGCTGAGTATTCTGTGAAATTTTACTGTGTAGTTAGAGACTCCCACGAGAAGGGGATGTGCCCAGCCTGAGTATTTGAAAATTGTTAAGTGCAGACTCATGATTTTAGGATCTTAAATTTTTATTAGAAATATATCAAATGTCCTTGCTCATTTTACTGTCTGATTCCACTTGACAAGAAAATTAGAATGATACCAACAAGAGGCCAAAGATTTACATATGCACTGAGATGTAATATCTGTTATTTATGACAGAGAGAAACAGGCAGTAGACTGGAGAGTGTTTGAGGAACTGTGGTTTTATTTTTGGTGTTGCTGAGGATGCAATCCAGGACCTTGTACACAGGAGGAAAGCATGCATTACAGAGCCATCCTCAGCCTGAATCCAGTTTTTTAAAAAAGTATCATGACCTGGATAAAGGTTCTTTGAAAAATAAGCGAAAAAAGCTAGCTACACATTGAAATTCTGAGGTGTATTATCTTAATTTTGTAAGTGTGATTTACACTATATAGAGAGAAGTGTAGAGCAATATGAATGTTTACAGATATGTAAACAATATACGTAGAAAAATAAGACAAAGGAAAAAGGTCACATACTACTAATGTTCCTCTGATTGGTAGGACAGTTGGGGAATATTTTTTCTTTTTTGTCACTTTTTATTTTCTAACTTTTCTATAGTTAAAGGTAGAAAGTGGAATGTTTTAACTCTGATACTTCTAGGTGATCAAACTATCAGAAGTTGAAAAACATGCTGTTGGTATTCGGACATTCTGACATGCTTCAGGTGGACTTGCTTTTTCTAGGTTTTAGGACTCAGGCCTCCATTACAGCTAGCGGGCTTGCACTCTTAATTTGCCTTTTTCTCTTTTGGATTGGACTTTTTTAGGTTATAAAGGAGTAGTATCCAGGCGGCCAGACCAAGCTAGCCAAGTCCCACCTTGTTCCTATGAGGAAGCTGTCCATGCCCTAGTCTTTCTGTCTAGGTCTGCTTTGTGTCATTTTGAGTGATCTCCACTGTGCTTTTCAGAGTGTGGTTCCTGATTGCAGTGAGCATCTGCCTCGGACCCTGGCCAAGATGCTTTTTAAGGGCTCTAAAGTAGGTTTTAGATGGAATAAGATAGGCTAAATGGTGAATTGGCCCCCAAAACAGTTTCCTGGAATTTAGGACAGTGCTGAAAAACAAAAAACTTCTTCTCTGTTCATAAGTATATGTAGAGAGGCAAAGGGAGAATTCTTTGGGTTTCACACACAGTTCACTTAGCCACCTTCCTCTGTGCAGGTTTTTGTGGTTGACTTGGTGTATTACTTAGTACTGCAGCTTATAAAAGAAAGGCAGACAGATTATGTGCTGTATCCCACCACCTGCTTCTAAAAACAAACAGGAACCGAAGGCAGCCATGCTGTATATAGCCTGGAGTGTTGGTTCCACCAGATATTACTCAGTTTTTTTGGAAGGTAATGCAGGAATTAACTATCAGTACATAATGAGATTCAGAGAAAGATAGTATGAGCTACGATTGTTGAGTAACTCTAAGGTCCTAAATTGACACCTTTTCTTTAAACAGCATTCCCCACCTCTATGGGGCCTACCTCTGTGTGTACCTGGAAGGGAAACTTCTGGGAGCCATGTCAGGCCTGAGGGTCACCCAGCCTCACAGGGAGGGGAGGCCTCTGTTTCAGGTCCAGTCATCAGCACATCGCCACTCGGTGTGGAGGACTGCTTGGCTCTCTGCTCACATCCTCATCTGTTCTTCGGGGATGAAGACCAGAAAAACCCCGCCCCCACCCTCAGTTGGCACTGAATTGGCTCCCCTGACCTTGACAGTTTGAGATTTCTTTAGCTTTGGAGAATCCCTACCCCACCCCGTTGAAAGAGCAGTTATTGGCAGGGGAGTACTGTGCCTTAAACGTTTGCTGTTAGGAAAGAAATACCAACATATTTCTCAAGGCAGTGTCCTCTGGACATAAGTGCAGTGCATGGTCTGGGCAGTCAGGTGAGTGGGTCCTTAGTGTCGATTAGGAGTGTGTGCCACCTTCTTTCCTTTCTCAAGTCCACGGAGCAGGGAATTCATGGGCTTCCGTACCTCCCACCTCCTGTGAAGTCTCAGACCTTGTAACCTTTCTCCCACGATGGGCCCTGACGGACACAGGCCTTGCAGCTGCCCACCTGCTACTGTCACCTTATACATCCCCAGTATTCCCCTAAGTGTATGTTAAGTGCACGTTTCTGGAAGCTTCTGCCGTTTCTTTGGGGGCAGTCTTTTTAAATCATTTCACCCCATTTTCTAATTTGTGTGAGTTTTTTATTTCAAGTTACATCTTTGGGAGCCATCACTCTGCTCTGCTGCCAAAGCAACCTCCTGTCCGTGGCTCCAGGGTGTTCAGTACCTAATTATTCGTGTTGTAGAGAAGAGATGCTCAGGTTCTTTATTTTGCCTCTCAAGCCTCACATGAGCCCTTTAGCTAGAGGGAGCTATATTTACTTCCTTGATTTGTTTACATCCCTTCTACAAAGGTCGTGGCCATCACACTGCTCCTGCGTCTTCGTCTTGGAGTAGCAGATCTTGGTGCCTGCTCTCCCATTTGTGGCTCTCGTGTTTTTTGCTCTTGCCATGTCTCCAGAAGTTTTTCAGTGTAGGGTCCTGGCATGTTCTCAGTACTTTGTAAAATGGTGGTTCCCTCTGATCTTTTAAAATATTAATTCATGTCCCTTTGAAATTCCAGGTATTTTCTCACTTGCCTCTGCCGGCTGACCTGAGCATTTTAAACTCAGTATTCCTTTGGGTCTCTGCTTGAGGCAAACCAGCCTCCGTCATGTAGGCGCATCCTCTCACCTCCAGGTTGAAGTGGTTTTCCTGACTCTTGGTTCCGCTTTGTTTTCCTCTGAAAGTTGCTTTTGAGTTGAAAGTTTCAAAGGACACTTTGGAGAGGGAATGGGGGGTGAGAAGCAGAGTCCTTGGGTCCCTGTCTGTGACCCCTAGGGGATCCCCTCAGAGACATGCTCCTGTCTGAGGAAGGGGGACCTGGCAGAGCTGGAACCTGCTTGAGTTGCTGGAGCCTTTTCGTGACCAAGCCCTGGCTTTGACACCATCTGGTAACCCGTCTCATCTTCTCCTTGTTTCCACTTTCCCGCAGCCTGGTTCCTCAGAGGGAAAGAAGGAAAAGGAGTGCTTTGCAGCAGATGCCCTTGGTGGCATTATGGTACTGGCCTTGCTCTGCTGCCCTTGCCCGCCTATCTTTATTTTTATTTCTTTTCTATTTGTTTTTCTTTTTTAGTTTTTTGCAGAATTGAACCTTTTTCTACTTTGCCTTTCTCTCCTGTTTATCTTTACTTTATGGTTGATATTTTACTGTCTTTTCCAAAGTTTTGTCATTTAAAAAATTATACAGCTGGGCCTGGTGGTGCACGCCTGTAATCCCAGCACTTGGGAGGCTGAGGCAGGAGGATTGCCATGAATTGGAGGCCAGCCTGGGCTACATAGAGAGTTCAAGGTCAGCCTGAACTACATAGCGAGACCCTGTCTCAAAAAAAATTATACAAAATATGTATCTTTAGCATGTCAATATTTTTATTACGTTGTCTTCCTCGTCTGTGATTACTATCTCTCAAACATTTTCAAACGTTCATGGTAAAAATCGTTTTTTTTTTTCTTCTTTCTCCTCAGTCCCTCCATTTCAAGGACCAAAACAGTTTTGCGTTAAGTAAAAACTTGTGACCAGAACTGAAGAAAGATTCTAGGAACAGAAACTCTTAACAGGACCTAGCAGTGTATTTGAGAACAAAACAAATTGCAAAAGCCTTAGTTGCTTCCACCTAAGAAATTTATTCACTGAAGAAAACATCTGCTGGAGTCAGTAGCTCCCTGAGTTGGGTGTAACAGAAGACTTGAAGGGCCCAACTTGCCATATTTGCAGAATCATCTCAAGCTGAAGGAGGAAATGGTAGTGTGATTTAGTCTCAGGTGTAAATACCATAGCCCGCTGCCATCTGGAGAGATGATAAGTTCAGTGGTCCATATGTGTCCCCACAGTGGCAGTTGTGCTCTCTGCTGGCATTCAGAAGAGCTGAGGATCTGATGGAGGTTTCGTACATATTTATTTTCTGTTCACCCTATGACCCTCTGTGGAAAATTTTAAAGGTAAACCAGGCTTTACTGAAACGGTACTTCCTGTCATCGGACACTTTTGGGTTTCATGTCTTTGATCTTTGTGAAACTGTTGTCATGTTTACTCTGTGAAGTACCCAAGCTGCTTGTCTTCCACCAAAGAGTGCTTTATGAACATGAATCTGTGAAGACCATGTGAAAACACTGCTGCATGCTGTAATGCCAAATGGTACTGTGCTCACCTCAGACTTGTCGGACAGTATTCATAGAAGCTTTAGAAGACTCCAGGGAAGAAACTGGTTTCAGAGTTGGAAGATTCTTGCCAAGCCCTTCCTTTCTCATCACTTAGGGACTACAAAATAGCAAGGCTGTGCATTATTGGATTGCTAGTCATACAGAGTCAAGTCAGATTGCCTGCATGCATGGGGGGCAGCTGCCCATTGTTGGTTTTTACCCTTTGCAGGAGCAATCCCATATAACGGTAGCTTTAAAAACAAAAATGTTAACATTTGTTTTAGAATCTTTCTCTGTAACACTGTGGATTTTTTTTCTTTTGTGATCATTCTAGGGCCATTCATATACTCTGATTTCACTGATGATGACTTGCTTTTGGATTTTGGTTTGTAGTAAGAGTGAACTACTCACTGTTGCCTTTGGTTAGGGAATCCAACAAGTAACTTTTTGCAGTGTGCCTTCTCCCCTCCCCGTTCCTGAAACACAGCAGGGCTGTAACATAAGCAATCACAAAACAGTTTATCTGCTGCTAAAAACAAAAACCAAGGTCCGTAATTAAAGACTGTTTTGCTGATTCCCTTATTCCTGCTATCCAGGGCCATCCTAGGAAGGCATGTCCCATTTTACAGGAGCCAGGCAGTAGAGGGCAGAGACCAGATGAATGTAAGGGGGCTGAGATCTTGCTGATCAGGTGGCTCTTCTTGAAGTTGGAGCAGTGTAAAGTGTTTACCCAAGAAGGAATCATAAGACATGGTTCCCTGTTTGAGTATTGTACCCTTTGGGTGAAGTGTGACACTGATTGGCTTGGAGAGGGGCAGCTCTGACCAGCAGGCCATGTAAGTGGGACTGAACCAGCATTAAAACATTGGGGGCTGAATCCCAGGACATAGTAGTTTTCTAATCCTGGAAATGAATAGGCATAAGAGCTGAGTAGAAGGAGGAACATGCCACTTGCGGGAAGACAAAATGTTCACGCTGTGCCCAGGCATAAAATCCTAATTGTTAGGGCATCCTTCAGAGGTCTGCTGATCCATAGCTTGTGCGGGTGGGTGTGAAGACCTCACTGCCTTCTGAGCTGTGTGTGGCTTGGCTTTCTCTTAGGTTGGAGCAAGGAAGCACATCCCTGCTGTGGCCCCCTCCCCTCTCTGACCCATCCCAGTGAGTAAGCTGTGTGGTGTCTTGGCCAAGAGTTAAAATCTTTGGCCCTTAGTGATAACCACAGTGCTTTTTGGTTTTATAGATTGCCCTGTGTTGGCTGCTGAAGCTTCCAGCTAGAATTGTTATCACTGGGGTTCTTGTTAAATATCTCTAGGAAACTTGTAACTTGGTGAAGACTATTCCTTGGAGTAGGCAGATAGTCTGGGACAGCACTTCAGGTGAGTTGCTTAGCAACAGGGCTGAATTTACTGGGCATACACCTAGAACCTAGGAGTCTTGGAGTTTGACCGATGGAAAGTCCTTTGTAGTATGAGTAGGAGCAGACTCCCCACCAGCTGAAACCACAGAATACTCCACATCCTCTAGGACTCTGACTCAGTTATTACACATGACCCTGTTGCTTTGGGATACAAAACAGTGCCTGTCAGATGACAAGACTCCTTTAACTGAAGAACCTTAAATAGTATTGAAAGTCCACCCAAACCACTTCCAATGGAATTAAAATTAGAAATGAATATTTATAGGTGCCCTTGAAACTTTCTGGGGATTCAGAAAGTTCCAGGGAGGCAGGTTGACCTTCGAAGCAGGGCTCCTGGAAGTACAGAGGGTCCTCTGTAACACAACCAACAGCAGGGAAGAGCAATGGCAGGGAGCGGTGCCTCCTCCAGAGGTGGCCTTACTCAGCCAGTGTGGCTGCACCCCAGCCACACATGGCCCTGCCTGTGTCACAGTTTTCCAGGTGTAAACTTGATGCCCTTAAGCCAGCTCCACCACTCCATACCCCATCAGGGAGTGGTGTCTGCTTTTGGCTTGGGCCCAGATGCGTCTTAGCAGTGTCCCCAAGTGTTCTCTAGAGGCCATTGTGTTTGACTAGGTCTCCGGTTGTCTCGAGCCAGCCATCCTGGGGCTCCCCTTTGCTTGACTCGTCAACCTTGACGAATAACCAATGAGTCCGTTGGGTGTTTGTTCTAAGGGTAGCTTGGCTGTCCTTCATAATATATATATTTTTAAATTCTGACTGCACTTTGGAAAGGAGTGTTCATCAAAAACCACCTTAATCCATCTTTTATTTCTTTTATTTCTACTGAAATGCCCTGGTGAGGTTAGTTGCTGCTCTTCTCTCCTAAATCTTGAGTATTTTCCATGTTGCTAAGTGAAAATACTATAGATGTGTTTAAAAGACTGGATGATTCATCTATACTGTGTAGGAAATTACCTCCTTAATTACCCAGTGAAACTGTCAGCAGACTTGTTCATGGCATTAGAGTCCTGCAGTTTTAGATTAATAATTTGCAGACTTTTATCTAATGTGCACTCATGTACAGAATATTAAGTTTTAAAATAATTGAGTAATCAGTATTTGACCATTATCTTGATTTTTTATGAAAATGTATATTTCTAATCATATTTTTTAAAGCTGAGAGAACTGGTTGAATGTTTATTTTCATGAAGGTATTTTTAAGATAAAGCTTCATAATGGCCTGTAAGGTTTGCATATATGTGTAGTTTGATATATATTGTTGCATTTGAAAATCTTGTGTATTGTAACTGGTTTTATACAAAATATTAAATAGTGGCAGTTGTGTAATTACAATTGTAATTAAAAATATTAACTAAGCAGTCTTCAGTTTATTGTCCTCACTTATTGAGTGTGCTGAGTTATGCTAGGGCAGCAGTGAAATATAAAGCGGATGATAAATTCTTGATTAATATGCCAAGGCAACCATGGCAAGAGACCAGATTGGGTGACTTAAACAGCCTTTTATTTCCTCTCAGTTCTGGAAGACCAGCATCAGGGTGTTTGCAGGGTGGGCTGCAGGTGTTCACCTTCCAGCCCTCACGTGGCCTTTCCTCTTTGCCCACCTATCCCTAGTGTCACTCCGTGTCCTCATCTCATTAAGGACATTATGGCAGGATTGAATGGGCTCCCATCCTCATGGCCCCCTTTACCATCACCATTCTTTGAAGGTCCCAACTCCAGGTCCATTCCAGCCTGAAGCACAGGGCTTAGGGCTTTGGCATTTGAATTAGGGAATGGGGGGAATGGGAGTCAGACAGAGTGAGGGTCTCTCTTTTGCGGGGGTTACAGGGGATCGAACTCAGGACCTTGCACTTGTGAATCAGGCTACGGAACCACTGAGCTAAATTCCCAGCCCTCAGGTCTCTTCCTATAGGTCTCTCTGAAGCAGTTAATTTTGTATCAACTCAAATTCTTTGTCTCCCAAAATTGAGGACAAAGGAAAAATTTAGAGTGTTTATTAGAAATGATAATAAGGGAAAAAAGAAAACAAGCTAAGCCAGGAGGATCTCCGCAAGTTGGAGGCCAGCCTGGACTATATAGCAAGATCCTGCCTCAAAAAAAAGACTTTGTAGATACTTAAGCAGGTAAAAAAGTCTGATGGACCTTCTTTGTTTTTTGCCTTATATGTTGGGATTTGTTTCTCACCTTTTCTTTCTTTTTTTTTTTTTTTTTTTTTTTTTTATTACCGGGGATCAAACTTGGGTCCTTGCGATTGCGAGTTAGGCAGTGGAACCATGGAACCACTGAGCTAAATCCCCGGCCTGGGATTTGTTTTAAACGGGTAGCTTTACGGGGTTTTAAACAAATTATTTAGCTGGTTCACAGGAAACTTGCATTCAAAGGAAACTGGTTACTCTGCATTTTTAAGTTTTTCAAAGTCCAGCTCAGAGGTTACAGAGGGGCTGTCAACTAAATGTATCTTCCTGGAAGCCAAGGTTTTTATCTCCCTTGTTAACTAGCTTTTATCCTGCTTGTGTTTCCTTGAGCACTACAGTAAGGCTCCAGAATGTTCCAGAACATCATGCCGTGGGGGCCTGTAGGTCCTAGATTGTGGCACTCAGCTGCCAAGTCTACGCATGAAACATCTCATGCAAGCAGCTGGATGCCAACTTCCATGCTTGGTCTCTAAGGCCTCTCCTGGTCTCTGGCTGGGTGAGATCTGAGCACTTCACAGAGCCAGGATCTAGGATTTCAATTTTCTGAATTCTGTCCAGTTCTCCAAGGAGCTGGGCCTGGCTTCACAGCAGGATACAAATTTTCAAAGTCTAATCCTGTCTTGGCACCCCTATCCAGATTCCTGCTCTGATTCCCTTGCTATTGTGGAGAGCTGCTAGTCCCCTCTCCCCTGCAGGGTATCTGAAGCCCAGGTGCTTGACAAGGGCCCAGCCACCCCTCGAAGACAGTTCTGTGGAGGGCCAGCTTGGTGTCCTGTGTTTCAGAGCTGTGCAGTATCTGGCCCTATGGATTCCTGCTGTCCTGTGTGGAGCCACGCTGTCCCTTTCTCATCTTTTAATAAGTGTGCAGTCTGCTAATCCCCTCTGTTTCAGTTTGAGGAAAATGGAGACAAAAAGAATGCCCACTTTAGCAGTTTGAAAATTAATGAGCTCATTCATGCATGCAGAGTGCTTAAAACGGCACTTTGGGTACATAGCCATCAATAAATTTACATTTTAGGTAATTATCTCTAGACAATTAGGTAAAGACTTAGTTTACTAGCAGACAATGGCTACTCAGGATCTGATTTTTTTTTTTTTTTTCATTGAGTTTATTGGTA